TTTTTTGTGTTATAAGTAAATGTGCCACATTCATACTATACGATCACAGTTATGTAGTGCGACTGTACATTAATATCGATGTAAAGAATCTCCTCCAATTTCAATTGAATGTTGCTTCAATTTCAACCATATTGCCATTGGTAAAGTTTTCACATACAAATGCGTACATACATATATTGGGGTATTCACAAGAGTGTCGTAAGTGTCGCTGTGTTTTGTCACGTAAGCTTCTTAATGGTAAAAAATTTTTTGGAGGTTTGCAAGGTATTATAATGGACGTTTAGAAAATATTTTGTTAAAGTTTCAAGTGTCTTTAACACATATTTCATCGTTTAAAACTTTACGACATAAGATAATACGACACTTAGACACCTTGTGAATCGCCTACAAATGTTTCTTTGGATAACATATCAGTCGGAAGTAAAACTAAAACGTTCACTCGGAATACCGAATTTCTTAACAACCATCGAGATTGTAGAAATGATAAGTAAGAGACGTAATATTCGAAGCCAAGCGGAAGTAGGGATGCCAGGCAATTTTGATTGGAGGGTAATGACTCTAGCGATTTTCGATGGTGAAAGTTCAGTATTTTTCAGTAGATATTATATAGACTGGACGATGGTTCCGAGTGCAGAAGTTTACGCATGTGGGAAAAATTTGTGATCGCCACTCACCAGGGTGCGACAAAAATCGATTCTTTTGCATCCGGTTCAAGTAGCTCATAACTTCCAGTGTTACCACCAAACTAGAGTTCACTCTTTGATGCGAAAATGCGAAAAGCAAAAATGAGCGCTATATTTTGCACAAAATTGTGAACAGTGTTGTTGCGAAATTCAAACAGTTCAGCCACAGCGCGGAAAGGTTGAAGAAGCGCGAATTCGATGTTGGATTTGAGGTGGGGGAAAAACTCCATCGCCGAGAACTGACGTTTCGTCCAGATATAAAAATCGTGCTAGGCGATTTCAATGCCAGCGAAGGCCCGATAACGCACTCCACGGCGAAACGCCCGATAATGCACTGAGGCTGATAGACTTAGCTGGCGAGCATAGGAAATGCATTATTCTTTTTACGTGGCTGTCACCGGATCGAAATGTTGTGCCAAATATTGTGGTGCAAAAAATGAGCACTCAGCAATGCTGAACGTCGAAAAGCTATAATCACAACAGACGGCCCCGTTTATTCGCCACTCGCTTCTGACACGTGCTCTCAACAAATCGATATATGCAATAAAACAACTCAGTAGTCAGATTTAAGATAGCCCGAAAAAACAACTGTGCGAAGAAGAATTTCGCGGAACTGCAGAGATAAAAGCTCCCGCCTACAGGGTCAAGCTGCGCGAACGCGAGCTGTGTGAGGCAAATATGTGGGCCTGAAGAGTACAACGAAACGTATCTATTTGCCGCAATAAGAAAAGGCCGAAACACCTGAGTGCGAAGAGCTTGAAATGTCGGCCGACAAGAAACACAGCACGAAAAGAAGTTGTCTTTATGCCGCGAAGGACAGAACGCTCCAGCTCTGAGTGTAACAGAGGAAGGGGAAGGAAGGCCTCCACAGCGCTGGAAAGACCTGGGGGAGAAGGACTTGATTTCACTTGGCATTTCCAATTGGTGTCAGTTGGCATAGAAGAGAAACGACATGCGTGCTGTTTTGCACTCAGCAGGATAGTCGAGGGAATTCCACTGCAATCTATACTGACGGTTCCAAATGGACTGCCAAGCATTAGAGAGGAACTGCGAAGGAGTACAAAAAGCATACAATTTCTCAGATAGCCTGGCGCCACTTCTGGCACTAGCCTCACCGGTAACAAAATCTGAAACAGCCAGATATTGCAAATGTGCGTTACGTTGCTGATATACGTTGGAACAACCTTCAAACCTGCAAAACTGCGCGGAATATATGGCATATATATAAGGCATGACACACTCGGGCGTTTTTCCATCGGAAATCTTAGGGAGTTCTTCAAATGCACCATTACTAACCTAAATATATTCAACGAAAAATCAAAATGGTTTGACGAAACCAACGAATCATGAAATCAGATAAAATCGAGGGTTGCCTAAAATATTTTTCAAACAATGTTCACGTTCTAAGCGGTGAAAAATCACCTTTTCAATAGTACAATTTTAGTGAAAGTGTTTGAAAAGCAAACAATGAAATAAAAAAATTGGTTTTATATGCAGTAAATTCGTTTGTGGCCCAACAGAAACATTCAAATGTATCTTGGTACTCAATTTTAGTTTTTTATATATTATTTTCTCTAGTTGTAACGGAAATTTAAATATCTACATACTTATCTAGTCTAGAACTCCAAATATCTATTTATTCCTATTGGGATCTAAAGTATCAAAAAAGGATTTTTCAAATTGCACAACGGTGCAATCAGGAGTTATCTGATCATCATGAAAAAGCTGAAAAGCTGCCCCTTTTTCACAAAAGAAAGAAAAATTTAGTTCCGCAAATATTATTTACAAAAGCAATTATTTTAAAAAAACAACTTTGCACATTTATGCCATTTTTTTTAAGTTGTTTCCAATTGTAACAATCAGAATATAAACAGCCTCATTGCGTAAGTCGTAAATAAGGCTAAATTGAACGACTCGACAACATCGGCATTGTCGACTGTCGTGCTGAAATAAGTAAACAATGAAAATCGTCGAAAACTATGCAGTGCTGCCAACTTTTATCGTTTTAATAGACTAGCCGAGTGGAAATTTTAGGCAATGACGTAAAATTTTCGATACGATTCGACTCTCTAAAAACGACTTGCATTCGACACGATTCTCGCAATGAGGCTGAATATATATGTATGTATGTAGATGAAACAAGTAATTTTTAGCAAAAAAAAAACCGACTTCAACTCCCATATAAAAAAAATATATATATATCTCTCATGATCCACTGATCGGACCTCAACCAGATTAGTATGGGACCACCTCTGAGACACTACCTTTCCGATGCAAAAAGAATTATCGAAATCGGTTGATGTGGTCCAAAGTTATGCGGTAACATACATAAAAAAAATTAAAAATTAAAAAAAATATTCCGACGAACTGATAACCTCCTCCTTTTGTGGAAGTCGGTTAAAAAGAAGGTTGAATTTATTCTTCTTCGAATTCTATGTATGTATGTACATCTCCTGTTTCCTTAGGCTGTGTGCTAAGAGAACGTCCCGGTAGCAAAAAAAAATTGTGTCCAGCGCAATGACATTGCTACATCGGCTGTTCCTGAAATTCCCATCCCACACAAAAACCAAGCGGCATACAACCACTGCGCATGTCAGCGAATTTTCTGAAACACCAAACAACCAAACAAACACCAATATCTACGAAAATATTACAAAAACGAAAAAAATATATAAAACAAAATAAAAAACCAAAGTAAACAAAAATAATCTACACTACAAAAATCCTCACGAAATGGTGGAATAAATTAACGACAAAAGCAAAGTTGCCCGAACGGGTAGAGATTAGCATAGAGTGGAATTAAAGCATCGAGTTGAGCTGGTCTCTAACCAGGCGAATCGCATCGAAAACTTTTCGTATGTAGTTGGAGAAAAAAATTCAAAATATTATATTCCAATGTTGCAGGTTTTGCTGGAAGCTTGAATACCAAAGAGCAACAACACCACTCAATTAATTCAGTTCATCGAAACTAATGCTGAGGTAGAGAAAGAACAAAAAAATACATACATATGTATGTGCATACATACAAACCTACCACATAGAAATAAAATTTATTCAAAAACTTTATTAACAAACAGACGCCTAAGCAAAGGAGGAAGAAATGGGAGCAGAAATAAAAGCAAAAACCCTTGCATACAAACAATTGTACCCATGTTGCCACTTCAGCTCTACAACAACAACAACAACAAGCAAAGAGGAAAGCTACAGCAACACAATTTGAGCCTTTGAAACTGTAAACAACATCCAAGCGATTGAAAAATAAAACCAAAACAAACAAGAATTATTGAAAAACGAAACCAAAATAAATAAACAAACAGTTCGGCGTACCAATCGGTTGGCAGACAGATGTACTTATGTATATATGTACGTATATAGATACATATATACACGTGTACTTACAGTGACTCAAGCAACTGATCACATGTTTATTTATTTTTTTTTCAATACCTATTCATAATCTGAAAAGTGTCAAACTTTATACACAATTTAGTAAAGTTCATCAAATGTTCATCAAAATTCCATATAAGCATAAATTTCTTACGAAAAAAATTACGGGAGACCGTACGCAACGAAATTTCGAAAAATCAACGCCAGTTTTTGTAAATTGCACTTGTTATATAAAAAAAAAAACACAATAGCAGTCACAAAAAAAAATCTCAAAAAACAACGGGATTTTTCAGCCGTTTTAAACTTGCACTTCATTGGATTAAAATTGTATGGGCTATAAAACTGCACACCCAAAATTTTCTAAGGATTCCAATTAAAAATTTTAAGTTTCGATCAAAATTTGTTGAAATTTTCCAAGTTTTGCATAAAGTTTGAAGCTTTTATTTGTATGGGTTTTCGTAAAGCTTAGACAACCATTTTTATTGGAAAAATTACAAAAAAAAAATTTAAGTATTAAAAAAATCAATACGTGTTCATTGTTTGAGTCACTGTTTCTACACGCCACATGCCAGATTCAATTGTGTGTGTAGTGCCCGCAAAGTCCAGTCACCTACCCGTTTGACTGCTTGCCTGCCGGTAGGCTGCCTAGCTGGTTGCCTGACAGCCTAACAACCGAGCTTGTTAAACATTCTACTCCTTGGCAGACCTGTCCGCGGCTGTCCACCAGAGTGGCATAACAACGACATCAGACGTTATGTTTTTCTGTATGTACGTAAGCACTGTGAAGGTAAGTGCTCACTGAGTAAAACAACAGCGACTCCAGTGGAGCAGTTAAATACTATGACGGTCATGATGGTTGCATGGACCGTGTCCAGTTGAATAGAG